TGCTCCCACCAGCCCTGGGCAAGGCAGGACGCTGCCCAAACCACAGCACAGGCATCCTGCCAGGGATGCAGCTCACAGCTCCTGACTGGGAGCCACCCAACGCATTGTGATGTTAAAGCCACAACCATACTGAAAAGTTTCCCAGGTGCTTCCTGCATCAAAATGCAGGTGGAGATGGAGGTCTCTGGCACCACCTATTCCCAGCTGTCTCATTTGGGACCCCTCTTATCCCTGCAGTACCTCTGGTCATGTTGGACATTCATCCCCGCTGTGTGTGAAGCCCAACTGAGGTGTCCCAGGCTGGGCTCTGCTCTGGAGATGCCATATGGGCATGACAGCCCCAGCCACGTCTCCCTCCCATGTGGTCATCCCCACATGGAGGGGGGCAGCCAGGGCTGGTGTTGTCCCTCCCACAGCTCCCCCACAGGGCCAGGAGGTGCCTGGGCTGCTGGGGGCTCCTTCCCCACACCCTCAGGTGCATGGTGCTGCATCTGCAGGACCAAACCGGGAGCATCCCCCAGCATGGGCTTTCCACCCAGGAGCTTCATTTGCTTTGGGAATGGCCCAGCTGGCAACAACCCACAGCTGCAGCAACAAAAATAAACCCAGGGGTTAGATTATTATCTTTGCCAGAGCATATCCCAGCATGATGAAAGAGTCTGTCAGCCCAAGCCCTGAGGAGCCCTCCTCCCTGAGCCAGGACTCCTGCACCAAGCTGGGAGAGGTGCCAGGGGCTGCCCCTCCAGCCCATGCTGGATGCACCAGGACTTCATGGGGGATGCTTCCAGAAGCTTCCACGGCTGGTCCACATCATCCTGGCCACAGGGACATGAAACCCTGAGAAGTTTTGCTGCAGGACTTGGTGCCCCTGGGCAGAGTGTGACTCCTTGGGGCAAGGATCAAGTCCTGGGAAGCAAACTGGCTGGTCCAGGCTGCCAGGTGAAGTCCACCACCCCCCACTTCACACGGAGCACTCACACCCCCACTGAGGGCAGCACCCACACGCCATGGCTCAGCCCTGTGCCACCCCTGTGTCCCCAAATGTACCTGGGAGCTTGCCTGGCCTCGGAGAGCAGGGCTGGGGGATGTGCAAAATGCAGGACAAGCTGCTTGCAGGTGAGCTCAGAGGCATGCGGGTGGACATGGCATTGTCCCCCATGTCACACACCACGCCCTGGTGACATGGCTAGCTTGGGTCTGACGGGCCTGGGCGAGCCCCACCACCAGGCAGCAGCAGGAAGCTGCCCTGCTCCTCTGCACAGCGTTACAGCGAGGCTGTGGGATGCAGTCACTTGTCTGATCTTTATTGGTGTGCCCCTTCCTCGGGTTAATTAGCTGGGAGAGCCCTGGGAGCCCAAAGGCAGCCTCCCATCCCCAGGGGGATGCAGTGAGTTCCCTCTCCTGACTCAGAGCCTCCTCCTGCTCCCTGCCCCTCCATATCCCACCATGGCCTCCATCCTGTTCAGCACTAGCCCTTGGCATCCTTCAGCAGACACCAGCAATGCCACTGCCTGCCCCAGCCTCACTCCCCCATCCTCACACCATCACCCCTGGCCCTCATCCGCCCTAGACCCACATGAGTGACCCTGTGGCTGCAGGTGACACAGTGCCTGTGGCCCGTGCACTCAGAATGACTTGTCACATTGTGGACACAGCCACAATTTGGGGACACAGAGCATGGGGGTGAACCCAGCAGCATGAGTTGGAAGAGGACCAGAAGCAGCTGCCTGCTTCCTCCCAGGTGACGTGACCTTGGTGTGCCATAGCTTGACACGAGTGAGCCATGGCCGGCTCCGAGCAAAAGGACCAGAGGCGTGCTTGGGGACATTGTGGCTGCACCTGGCTGGCACAGAGCCCTGGAAAACCACATCACAAGGTGACACAGGAGTGGAGGAAACTGGTCCCTGTGCTTGAGTCCCGGAGCCACCTAAGGGTTTACAAGGAGTGAGCAAAATGGGTGCTCCTCTCCTGTGCTTTCAGTGCTGGATCCTAATGCCAGTTTAGCACAGGCCATTGAGAGTCACTGGGGACATCAATGCAGGTGCCACCTGACTGGAGGCTGGTGGGGAGCAGGGCACACCACACACCAGGGGCTAAGCCCCTGCATGGCCCAGTTGGGTAAAAGTCCACAACGACTTGGATGAGACAGCATGAAAGAACAGCCTTCATCACTGTGTTGGATTTATGTAGCAAGGGTTTGGTAGTGGGGGGGGGGGGGGGGGGGGGGCGCTGCAGGCATGGCCTCTGTGAGCAGAGCCCAGCAGCTGCCGCAGGTCAGCTCAGAGCCGGATCCAGATGGCTCCAAAAGGGACCCACTGCTGGACAGAACTGAGCCATGAGCGAAGCTGGTTGGGCCTCTGGGAGAACAGATTTTAGGAAGGGAAAACAAAAAAAACAAAAAACCAAACCAAAACAAACAAACAAACAAAAAAAAACACAACATTGTGCTACAGCAGGTGAGAGAGAGGAATAGGAACCAGCCCTGCAGCCCCCCAGGTCAGTGCAGCAGGAGGGCAGGAGGTGCTGCAGGCACTGAAGCAGAAGTTCCCCTGTGACCTGTGGAGAGGCCCTGGTGGAGAAGGTAGATCTTAGGAGAGCCCCCAAAAGGGGACTTGTGGTGGAGCAGTTTTCTCCTGACAGATGGACCTCATGGTGTGGAGCCCCAGGCCCCGCTCAGCCAGGGCCCACTCAGCACCAGCAGGCCCAGCTGCATGAGTAAGGTGTGAAGAGCAGCCAAAGCCCACGCTAACCACTCCCTTCTGTACAGCAGCAACCTCCTTCTCTCATCCTGGGAACCCGTGGGCACAGACAGGCACAACTCCTGTGTGCTCTGTAGCTGCTCATCACGCCATGCAGACACAGCCTCCGGTCTCAGCCGTGCCATGTGTCTGGCTGGTGCCGTCTGTCCACACCGCTGCACGTGTAGGCTGCCTCGTCCGCACGTCCTCAGCAGCTCCGGGTGGACCATGCAGGGCTGCGCTGCTGTGGTGGCTCAGGATTTGCATCCTGGGGACATCAGCAGCAATGACTCCACGAGGGGGCTTTCACGTCTACCTCAGCAGTGCTTTAGCTCAGGGGAACCCAGCCACTTGAGCTCTGCTGCCCTCAGATGGATTGTTTGGAGCCAGCCTGGTGATTTTTTTTTCCCCTTAACTTCTTAGTTTCCTTGCCATCTACTCAGAGCTAACAATGGGAAATGAACTGATTCACTTTTCAGTCAGAAGTGCATTTAAGATAAAGCTGAATGATGAAAAGTGATCTCTTCTTTACGAACCTTCCCTGGGGAGCTCATCTGCTAAGGTCAAGGAAGCATCTGCTTGTGTCCTGAGAACAAGACAGCCTGCCAGCCATAGGGAAGAGAGAGGAGGCTCCCTCCTCCCTGGGCAGCTCTTGAGCACCAGGTCACTGGGGGTCATCATAAATCTCATCATAAATGAGTAATTGTTGTGAGGACAAGTGGCTTCACATCTCCAGCACATTTACTAGTATTTGTCTAGATTCAGTATCTATTATCTATTACCTAACATCGGTTATCTATTATCTATTATCTCCAGTGACCGTGGCTGAAAAGCAAGAGAATCATTGGGAGCTCCTAGTGCTTTACTGAATTACTGGATTATTAAAATGAATTATTTGAGTTTACGCTCTTTGCTTATACTTGCTATCCTGGGCCACACTTCCCAGCCTGTGTGCCTACACCTGCTCACAGGGACTGCACACAGGTCCCCCTACTCTTACTCCTGGGCAAGAGCAGCCCCTGACCTCTCTTTCGAGTCCTATTCTGTGCAAATTCTCTCCTTGAAGCCTTCAGCTCCTGCCCTTAATCATCACAGTAATATTTGTGCACTCCTTGTGCAGGCCTCAGAATTTGTAATGAACGTTTTCCAGGATGAAGCATCAGGCACCTTGCTAAAGAAAGCTTTTTTGAAAGGGAATATCCTGTGAGATCTGCTCTGAATTTACACCACAAGTTTATACAATTAGCACACCAAAAAAAAAAAATAATTAAAAAAAAAATTGGTTGTTTCTTAGGTAATTACAGATTTTCTAGAACCCAGGTATGAATCTGAAAAAGTCTCTTTTATGCAACCTGAGATGCATCCTAATTTCTAAGATCACAACGAAGTCCCACTCTGCAGCAATTCTCAGCTCTTTTTTATTGCATGCTCTGCCAGCTACATCCCACCTCTTCTCCTGAATTTGAGAGCCCTTTATACAGCAGTTTTCCATTTCAAGACCTTATCTCCATGAAACAGATCCTGAGAGCGCAGAGAGCACAGGGTGGTACCAGTGGGATGGATGAGGCAGACACAGATGGGTGAGGGAGCAGTTGAGGCTCAACGGGAAGCCCAGGAGGTGTTTTGTTGCCACCATCATTACAGAGAGGGCTTGACAATTCATTCTCTAAAGGAGAACAGTCGTCTGGGGCTGGGCACCAAAGCAATACGCAACATCTCAGGGTCAGGGGCAGACCCAGGTTCTCAGCACCCTTGTGGTGGCTGTGACACTGTGACAGGTGACACAGAGGTATGTCTTTGGTGCTGGGAGCTCCCCACAACATGGACATTTAACACATCGATCTGTACATCTGGCTGAGTTACCCCTTGCCTTGCCCTCCCAGTACCCCATAGCTTTATGTAGGAAATGGATCTGCAATGCAAAGAAAAAAAATTACATTTCTGTTCAAAAACACACACATCAGTTCTCTCTGTCTCAGAGCACAGCCCCATAAAATCTCATCAGTACACTGAAGGCATCAAGTACCACTCAGGGGAAAGTTGGAAATAAATTAGTGTTGCTGTTGGTGACAACAGATCGATATAATTGTGGTCTCGGACAGGGTGGCACAGGCGACGCAGCAGCTACGGTGCTTCTGGCCAGCAGCAGCCTGAGGTGTGCAAGGTGCCTACAGCAAACAACCAGCCTCCACAGGACTCCTGTTGTCCCAGCAGCAGTTTTAGGTACAAATGCTTTCTAGTAAAACATAATAAATAAAACCAATCCTTCCATACACTTTTATTTTAAAATAAAATAACCGGCATACCAGACAGTGCCTGCACATTGCGATATTTTAAGACTAATACCAAGGACTACGTGAACCTGAAATAATGACGCTGCAAAAGGATCTTCTGAAGAAGGATATGTACAAAGCTATGTACAAGGTGACCGCACGCTGTCACAAGCCCTGCCTCTCGCAGCACTGCACCCGCACCCAAAACCTCCGTCCAGAACCCAGGATGGGGGAAAGCCCCCGAGCGGCGCTGGGGTCCCCGCAGAGCCGGGGTGTGCCAGGCAGGGCTGGCGCGGGGCTGCGGGCTCAGTTCACGCGGCAGGCCCGGATCATGAGCAGCTGCAGGAGGATGAAGACGGGCGACATGATGAGCCCGTACCACAGCTCCCGCGTGTGCTCCACCAGCTTCTGGCACAGCAGCATCTCGAAGACGAACTTGAGGCTGAGGATGGTGAGGATCCAGAAGAGCCGCAGCACGGCCAGCCGCTTCTCGCCGTCCTGGAACAGCCGCACCGAGACGATGGCGGTGAAGTAGGTGCTGAGGCCGTCGGCGGCGAAGAAGGGGACGAAGACGACCCACCAGGAGAGCGCCGAGGCCTCGCTGTCCACCTTGAGCACCAGGAGCACGGAGAACACCAGCAGGGCCAGGCCGTGCAAGAAGATCTCGAAGGTGGCGAAGCCCAGCCACTGCACCAGCTCCCGCAGCGAGAACAGCATCGTCCCGGCCCCGGCCCCGGCCCCGGCCCCGGCGCTCGGGGGCCGCCGCTCCGGGCGCACCGGGAGGGCCCCGCCCCGGCTGCCCCGCGGGGCCCGGAGCTGCGGCGGCGCCGCGCGATGACGGCGGCGGAGGCGGAGCGCGGTGGGTCCGGGCTGGCGGTGGGGCCCGGCGGCCGCGGCTCCCCCCCCCGGGGCTGGGCGGGCAGGGCCGGGGCGGTGGGGCTGGGACGCGGCTCCCTGCGCGGGGACTGCGCTGGAGTCGGCAGCAGGGAGCGGCTGGGGCTGGGGACGTGCAGAGCGCGGGGTGAGGGCGGGTGAAAGGAGCCTGGGCGCGATGCGGTGCTCCCGGACCCTCCTCTGTGCCTTGGGAGCGGGGACGGGGGTGCAGCAGAGCCCGTGGGGCCCCTGCGGAACAGGGTGCTGGGACCAGGCGGGTGGCACTCGCTCAGCACCGCCCTGGAATCGGGGTCATTGAATGGCTCGGGTTGGAAGGGACCTTGAAGGCCGCCTGGTTCCAACCCCCTGCCATGAGCTGGGATGCCGCCCGCTCGGTCAGGTTGGAAAGAAAGCCCAGGTGCCCTGAATTGTGCCACTGTCACCAAACTGTTCAGCTGTCCTCGTGCTTGCTGCTTGCAGTGTCAAGACCTCAAATTTCACCTGAACCCAGAGCTGCCAGCGCTCCTTTGAAGCCGGAGTAGGGTGCTGGTGTGATGCCCAGCCCCGAGCAGGTCCGACTCTGTCTCAGCTCCTGGTGATTTCTCTGGTTTTGTCTCTTGCAGATGGCAGAGCGGAGACTGCTCATTCTTTATGGCAGCCAAACTGGGACAGCTGAAGATACAGCTGAGAGAATAGGCAGAGAAGCCAAGCGCCGGCACTTCCAGTGCAGAATAGAAGCACTGGACAGCTATGACGTGGTGAGTGGCTGTGTAGAGGGCTGCTCCAGACAGTTATGTTCTTGCTTCATCTCCAGCAAACCCATTTCTGGGACTCAGGCATCCTCCACCCATTCTGTGACCTCCTGTGTTTCACCACATCCCAGCTCTTTCCCCTTCCCGAGAGCAGCTTATGCTTAATTCAGCTGAAAATGTGAAAACTGAGCAATGACTCTTGGGATAGAGGCAGTGTTAGCTGGCACATGATCAGCCATGTCTTGCGTTTCTGCAAGGCAGGGAGCACCGAGGAGCTGATGCTGGGGGCAGCAGATGCTGCAGTGCCTGTAGAGGAGGCTGTGCCAGACGGGGCTGTGAGTTTTAAGCTAAATGGGGTCTGTCCTCAAGCTCAATGCAATTAGAGTGGCTGGGTCCAGACAGCTGGGGCATACCTTTGTAGGCTGCTGGCCTGAAGGTGCTTTCTCATGCTTGTTTGTGCCTGCAGGCAAACCTCATCAACGAGCTGTTGGTGGTATTTGTGTGCGCAACCACTGGCCAGGGTGACCCACCTGACAACATGAAGGTAGGACATGTTCTGTGCATATGGCTTTTATGTACCTGGCCTGTGACCTGATTTATTCTCTGGAGCAACTTGAGTGATGTTTGGGTTTTTTTTGGAAGGGGGTGTTTTGGGGCAGCACATGTCATCCTGCACGATGGTGTGAAATGGATGTTTGCTCACTCAGAGCAGCCTTTTGGGGCTTGCCTTCAGTGGTAGTCCGCTACTGCCAATCTTGTTTGGGGCTGAGAAACTTCGGTCACTGATGGGACATGAGCTGGTGAGATTTCAGCAGCTTTAACAGCTGAGATGGACCCCACGGTAGCAAGGTCCTTGGGTTTGTGGAGGGCTCACAGAGCTTTGTTTTCCTCCCATTGTCAGTGGTAGCTGCTTTCAGGTGCCACCTTTGTAGAAAGCCGTGCTCCCCACTCTGTCAGGACTCATCAGAGGGCAGAAGGGGTCCTGTGGGTGTGTGAGGGGGGAGCCAGCAGCCAGGGTAGACGTCTGTGCACAGCAACGTGACTCCTGGCCCTGTCCTTTGTAGATGTTCTGGAGGTTTCTGTTCCGGAAGAACCTGCCACCTTCTTCCCTCTGCCAAATGGACTATGCCGTGCTGGGTCTTGGTGATTCCTCCTATCCCAAGTAAGTAGCTCCGGTGCTCCTTGTGGCTCGGATGAGACAGTGGTTGGGCAATAGAGGGGGCAAACAAAGGCAAAACTTGGCTCTAGAGCAGCAGCTCGGACAAAACATAATTCCTACCCCTACCAGCCTTCAAAATCCTTTCCCTACCAGCCCAATGTGCCTCCAAAACCCAAGAATTGGGCTTCTGCCCATTTCTTTCCTCCTGGCCTTCTCAAATAGATGCTTTGCAGTGTCTCAGACGCTGTCTCCCAGTCAATTTTTACAGACATGCTCTTTTCTGAATTACAGGAAAGCCTGCACCACAGAAATGTCAGTGGACAAGGCTAACAGGAGGCATCAAACATAATTTTAGGTGGCAGCCAGCCCTATTGGTCTCAGTTCTCTCCGAGAAGGTTGTTCCCATGTCCCCAGCAGAGCTGTAGCGGGGCAGGAGGGGAGTGTGACGGGGCACTGTAGGGCGCTGAGAGACCGGAGGGAAGGAAACATTTCTCTCTCTGGGGCACAGGCTGTCCTGAAGGAAATCTGGACCCCTTTGAGTCCCTGGGCTGGGCACATCTTATGTGGTTCTGTGAGTGGTAACAGCAGCTTCTCCGAGCTGTCCCACAGCAGAGCCATGGGCTGGGTGTGGGTGTGTGTGTTGGGTCGGGCTGGACCTGCCCTTGTGCTGCTCTGGTAGCTCCAGCAGCGTGTGCTGCCTTGTGTGTCGTGTTGGAGGAGCCCTGCCCTCCATGGCTGTGGTTATTCTCTGCCTAGGTTTAATTTTGTTGCCAAGAAGCTGCACAAACGGGTACTACAGCTTGGGGGCAATCCCCTGCTGCCAGTGGCACTGGGAGACGACCAGCATGACTTGGGGTAAGTGCCCGGTGGAGGGGTGGCAGGAGGGGAGGCCCTGAATTGCACTATGATTTTGTCCTTGGGCTGATGGCAGGGCTGTGTATGCTCTACTCCTGCACTCCAGATATGGTCAGTGGCCTCTTCCTGCTCTGTGTGAGCATGGTGGTGTCAGCTCAGACCTCTCCTGTGCCAGGACTGGGTTGATTTCCTTTACTGGGATGTCCTGTGACCCCCAGCATGTGCCAAGGTCTTGCAGAACTGCAAGGAGTGACCGCCTGTGCTGTGAAAGGGCAACAGAGGTGGTGTCCCAGGGCTGGTCCAGCATTGTCCAGGTGCAGAGGCAGCATCAGGCCCACCAAGACAGCAAAAAACACAGTTGTTCGTGGCACTGCAGCATTCCTCTTCTGTGGCAGCAGTGTATTCTGCTGGTGTGGCATCTCTGGGGCCTGAAATGATGGTGACAGAGTCACAGCTGTGCTGGAGTCTGAATCTCCCCCTTGCAGGCCAGATGCAGTGATTGATCCTTGGCTCCTGGCGTTATGGGACAAGATCCTCGCCTTGTATCCTCTCCCTCCTGGCCTTGAGATCATCAGTCCTGATGTACGGTAAGCGCAGAGGGCTGCTTGGACTGGCTGGCATGAAATGGCTTCCATGGCTGTTCTCTGGGGTGGACACATGCCCTGCTTTGACCAGGAAGCCTTCCTGCACAGCTCCCAGAATCCCAAACATTCCTTGTACTTTGGCTGTGGGTGGCCTAACTTCTCCCACTAAATGGGATGTCCTCTTGTCCCCTGGCTGTGCATGTTGGATTAGCAGCTTCCCTTGCAGGGTTCTGCCCATTTCACTGTCCCAATGCCTCTCTGCCCTTGGCTGCCCTGCTGAGCCATGTGCCTAGCCAGCCTCACCTTGCCTGCCCCACCACCTTTGGGATCTCCTCCTAGCAGACTGGCTGTGTTGTGATCCCTTTCCACAAACCAGCTCCACGGTACAGGAACAAAGGGAGTTGAATATTTTGGGGGACTTCAGGGCCTCTCCCTGTCTCCAGCTTCTAGAGCTAAGGTACCAGAAAAGCTGTGACGTGGAGGTAACTGCACTGACTGCATTGCTCTCGTTCCCACAGCCTGCCCCCAAAATACACCTTGCACTACCTGTCTGAGGACTCCATGCACCCTGATGGTGACCTGCTCCAGCCAACAGCAGCCAGGGCTGTTCCCTCTGAGCTACATCCCTTTGCTGCCCGGATGGTGTCCAACCAGCGTGTCACAGCAGAATCCCATTTCCAGGATGTCCGGCTCATTGAGTTCGATACTGTAGGATCAGGGATCACGTGAGCATTTTTTCAACTCTCCCAACCTTTTCTGTGCAGGATCAGGTGTCCCATAACCTTTCTTTTTCTTCCTCTCCCCTTCTTCAGTAACACTTGAGACTGCAACTTATTTCCCACAAATGTGGTCCTGGCTGTACTGTACCATTCCATGACAAAGCCAGGGCGTGGAGGGATGTGTGGCAGTGTGGGTTCTGCTCGTGGGGCAGCTCTTTGCCTTGTCAGGTTAGGGAGCGCAATGTTAGTGACACTGAGAATTTGGCTGCGTTGTGGCCTCTCCCCTGCTGTGGGTGCCGGTTGGGGTTGTGGTGCAGTGCCTGCAGGCCTGCCCCTTAGCTATGCTCAGCAGGTCCTGCTGCATCTGCAGGTTCAGTGCAGGAGACGTGGTGATGATCCAGCCTCAGAACTGCCCCGAAGACGTGCAGCAGTTCTGCCAGCTGCTGCGCCTGGATCCAGACAGAAGCTTCTTGCTGAAGCCCACAGAGCCTGGTAGGTCCTGCTGGCTTCTCCTTTCCCTCTCTGCTGGGACAGGGAAGCCCACTGAGCCTGGAGCTCTGCTTTTCCTTTGCTTTAGACCCAGTAAATAAGGCATTGAGAGTGGCTGATGGATACAGAGCATCTGCCTGCCTTGCAGTGCTGGGGCTCTCCTTCCCTCCCAGCTCTCTGTGCATGTAGGTCCGATATTAGGGCTAACGTAGAGAGGGGCCCAGTGGTACCCGGGCTGCACCTGTGCCTTTTGTCTTTGCCAGCCCTGAGTGTGAAGGATCCTACACACTCCCCAGCCCAAGACCCAAATCAGATTGCTCGCAGTTCTACCCCTATCCATCTCTGATTCCTTGCTGGGGTACACAGGTCCCCCTGCTTTGCCTGCACCCC